GGAAATTGTGGCTCTGAGATGCCAATAACATACCCAAGGTCACATACACAATACCACAAACCCAGGTCTGTCTGACTTAATGAAGTCCTTTCCCTCTCCACCTCACTACATCCCAGCAAGTGTCACTGGTCACTTGCTTTTATGTTTTTTATTTTTTAACTTCAGTTATATGGAATTGGTTCAAGTTGGTGGCATGCTTTTAAAGAAAGAGAAACACTGCAGGACTGGTTCCAGAATAATGCCCTCACACACAGGGAAAGAACGGACCTTGTCATTTGGGTCACTGTATAATTTTTGCAGAACTGTGGGGGCTGTCTTGGAAATTCTTCATTGTTTACCTTCTTTTTCTGTAGTAAAAAGCACATAATTTATATTTACTACCTAATCATTTTTATGTGTACAGTCCAGGAGTGTTAAGCACATTCATATTGTTCTACGACAGATCTCTAGAACATTTTCATTGTGCAAAACTGAAACCCTATACTCATTAAACAAGAAGTCCCCCTCCTCACTCCCCCCAGTCCTTGGCAACCACCTTCCTGTGTTGTTTCTGTGCTCTTGACCACTTTAGGTACCTCACATGAGCAGACTCATATGTTATTTGTCCTCTTGTGAATGGCTCATTTCACTTCGTGTACAACCCAGTTGTAGCCCATCACGGGGCAGGACTGAATTCCTACATGCTCTTCCTGACAATCTTTCTTCTAATTGTGCAATGAAATTGAGGTCTTTGTTACCTGCTGCCAGACACTGTTCTTTAATTGCTTCATGTATACCATGGATCCTACCTAGCACCCAACCTTGCATTGAGAACATGGAAATTCTGTGAGATCAGGAAATGCTCTGCTATTTATCGCTATTCCCCAGCAGCAAACAATGCCTGACATACAGAAAATGCATAGGACACATTTTTTTTTTAAGTTGTTGATGGACTTTATTGTCTTTATTTTTATGTGGTGCTGAGGATAGAATCCAGTGTCTCACGCATGCTAGGTGAGCACGCTACCACTGAGCCACGACCTCAGCCCCATAGGGCATATTTTTAAAAGAAATTACAGGCCGGGGCTGTAGCTCAGGGACAGAGCACTTGCCTAACATACGTGAGGCAATGGGTTTGATCCTTAGCACCATATATACAAATAAAATAAAGGCATTCTGTCTATCTACAACTACAAAAAAAAAAAAAAAAGAAAGAAATTAACAAACCCGTTGTTTTTGAGAACTGACTCTGAGAARTCAGAGACTTGAATCTCCAGCAACATTTGTAAGAAATAATCTAAAGGAAGGGAGAAGAGTATTAGCTCAACTGGAATCAGAAGCTCTGAAAAATATCTTCCTAAAAATTAGGTATGGCAGGACAGCAAACTCTTTGATCAACTACTAAAGAATAGAAGGACAGGGTAACATCAAAAAGGGCCCCGAATCTCCAAGATTTCCCATTCTTCCATAGAATTCAAAATTCTGACACACAGATGTTCAMTGGAGAGTGGGAGCTGGCCAGGCTGGCAGCCATGCCCACAGAGCCCTGCCCTATCACAAAAAGCAGGAACCAACTTGTGGCTGCGCTCTTTTGTCGACTTCCCCCACCTTTAATATCGAGGAACAGACAAATCCCCAGGATGTGTGTGTGAAAAAGCCAGAGATGGATAAAAATAACCCAGTGACAAATGCTGAAGAACATACAAAGGGGCCGAAGCCAGACGTTCGTGGGATTCCCTGACAGCTCCATCCACAAGGAAGGGCTGGGCTGGAAAAAACAGGGCCTCAGGTTCCTGCCAAGCTGTCTGAGGCCCTGTCCTTCCCAAATCATTCCAAGCAGCAGCCAAGACTTCACAGTAACCCTTCCAGGTCTCACAAAGAAAAATGCACTCTGAACCCACGGAGGGCTCCTCACCTAGAAAACTCTCCTCCCTGGTGAGGCCCCATTCCATGGGAGGCTGGCAGGAATGAGCGGATGCCGCGCACCTCAGTTCTCAGCTCCTAATGACTCCCCATGTGCCCAGAAAACGGATAATTAGAAGGCAGCTCGAAGAATCCAACTTTTCTCATTGGCTAAAGAAAAGCTGAAATACCCAGGTATCAGAATCCAGAGACCGGAAACATGGCTTAAAGAAAAAAAGAGGTCATAAACGTGTGGTACCTGCATCCTGGAGTCCCTGCTGTATAATTCTAAGCTGGCCTTGCTTGGAGGCACACCTCAGGCTTCTAAGCATGTGACTGCATTTGGCCCTAACTCCTCTCTCTTCTGGAGAATGGCCTGCAATTAATCTCACTTATTACCTCTGAAAGTAACAACAGAGGAATGGCTGGCCAAGCCCAACTCCCGAGTGTCTAGGGAACTGCAGGCTGCGTGGCCAGGCCTCAGACTGTCTGGGCAAGTTGTGGGCTCTTTGCCTTCCTCTCCCACAACAAAGCCTGAACAGGGACTCCAGACAGACCAAAGGAACCAGGGGATTTGAGGAGCTGGGTTGAGCTCACACTGACCCAATGGGAGACGACAGCCCTGAGGCTACATTTGGGGTGGTTTCCAACAGCGGGGGAAGAACAAGGTTTGTCTGGTGAAAACTTGTGTGATCCATAAAATTGAGAACAATGGCAACACCATGGGGAAATGAAAAATAACACTATTTGCAGAGTTCTCGTGAGTCACCAGTTTTCATTCCTGTGGCTACCAAGTCACTGAATTCTCCGAGACGGAGAGATGAAAAGTACAGCCAGCAGCGGGCTTCTCGAAACTTTGCATTACACTTCACAGGCAGCCTGGAGTTGAGTGAGTTAGCAGAGTTTATCAGCACTGGAATTCACTGCTGCATTTGTAGAAAAACTAGTAAGAGTACCTTTTATTTACCTAGCCCCCACTTCAGGGAGATCAAAGTGCTTTAAGGGTGATCTAAAAGCTCTCAAAATAGGCCAGTTTACATGTAAGTATGCCTACCCAATAAAAAGATTCAATGAATAGCTTAGGGTCACTTAGTGTCAAAAACAGTAATAAAACTCACATCTCTAAGCTGTGAGTCCCATATTCACCAAACTTAGTCACCCTCACTACAAAGGAGAAACAATAAGAGACTAAATAAATATCCACAAAAGAGGGACTTACCAGGTAAGAATGGAAATCAGAAGGAGCCCTGTGTGGTGTCCCTGGCCAGGGCCTGCAGCCCCTCCAGCTCTGGAAGGACTAAGGACTCACTTGGGGCTGTTGGAACTAAAACTCCCAAGCTGAGCCTCCAGCTGTCCTGGCAAGCAGAGGTCACCTGGGGGCAGTGGAAGATTCCCCAGGGCTATGGGGGACCCGACTGGGACCTCACCACTGGCTGGAGGCAAAGAAAGGGCTGTTGTGGGTACAACTAAGTCAAAAAGGAAGCACCAAGGGATTTCTTGGGGTTGCGTTTTAGCTGCAACAGCTCTGATGTAAACCGGATAGTGCGCCACTCCACCGCAGCCCAGGGAGCACTCTGGCTGGGAGAAAGTCACTCCTGGTGCTGCTGTAGGTCCCAGCTGACCTCCACAGATCCCACCATACTGCATCTCACCAATAGCAGGTGCTTCCAAGAAAGCTCTCCACCCAGCCATAATTTTTGTTATCCCCTCATTCTATCTACAAGTATAAAAAGTGCTAAAATTCTTCTTCTCCAAAATGTGGACTTTTGACGTTCTATTTACAGTATGGAAAATGCCTTATAGCCTTGTCAAACAGAATATTCAAGATTGTAATGAAAGTGTTCTCCATAGGAACAGGCTCTGAGTTTCMCAGGAAAATGGAATATTTGGAAACATTTATATAGAAAATAAAGCTCTATGGAATAAAAAGAACTTTTTTACAACTTGTATTTCAAGGAATGTGGTTACTCAGAAGATTATAAATCACCAAATAAGAATTCTCTTGTGAAAAGAACTGTATAGAGGAAGTCCCATCTCAAACAGTTGTGCCCCTTGGTCTCCAACTCTGCATGAAAATTCTCAACTGAGATGGCTCTTTGCACATCGACCACAATGACGGTGGGTCTGAGAGCCATCGTTCCAGGGTGAGATGCAATGTGCTTGTGTTTATGCTGCTTCCCAGGCAGAGTTTCTGGTCCCAAATTAGCTCCTTAAGAAGTTAATTCTGATACCAAGTGATATTTGAATAATAATCAAGTATTTCCTCCATGCCCAGGTCTTTGGTCCCCTCCCCCACCCCAAGCTCAGAGCAAAGCAGCAAAGAAGAGAGAGAGGCTGGCACAGGGTGAGGACTCACTTGGACACCTGGGGTAGAGCTTTTTTATTTGGAGGGAACAAAATCTCCATGGCCAGAGATATCACTGGTCACATTTCTCTCCAGCTCATTAGACTCAGGGACTGATGCAATTTAATCCACTAAAGGAAGATGCAGTGAGAACTCATTTCTTAGATTTTTTTTATACAGGAATACTTAAAATATTAGAATGAGACCAGAATTTAATACAGTGATTTTTTTTTTAAATTCAGAAGTTGTTTGCCTTATGGCCAGAATCTATTTGTATTTCACAAATTGCTACTTCTCTCTACATAACAGACTATTTCCTTCCCACCTCCCAAATGGGATCAAGAACCTGTTTTGAGTTTAATTATATAACCTATATGAAAACATAAAAAACAAATATGATCTCCAAAGGAAAATAAATAAATAAAGAGTTCAAAGTCACTGAAACACAATGGAGATGTGGCTCAGTGACAGAGAGTCTCTGTGTTCAATCCCCAGTATCACAAAAACAAACAGAAAATTCCAGGAGGCAAGGATAAAATGCCAAAATTCAGAACATGAAGATGTTGACTGGAAGTAAGGATTAACTATAGCATCCATCCAGAAGTGATTTTCTTAACTACATCAGAAATTTCCTTTCCATTTGATTTTCTTGAAAGTTGTCTTACAAATAAAATGAGCATCCACCTTACTAGACCTCAGAGTGGGAAGGGCCTGATTGCTTGGGACACAGCCCCTCCCATGCAACTCAATGCTACCTCCAGGGTCCTTCACGTACCTGCTTCCAGGAGGGCTGGAGTGGTTCTCTGTAGCGTGGGGGTCTGACTGTATGGACCATGTTGGACCAGTAGGACTGAGGACAGGTCGGAGGCTGGGGGGAGTTGAAGCACTGCTTCTGTTTATGACACCACTTGCCAAATTCAGGTTTGTTACCTAGAAATGAAGTGAAGGAAATAACCTGATTAAAAGTGTCATGAAAAATACATCAGAACAATCAAGTCTAAGAGATGCTGACTCATCTGAGCTGAAGCAGTGGCTGTGACAAAGGCAAACAGGAGAGGGTGGCTTCTGTGCTCAAAGAACAAAGGCAAGGATGGCGACTGCCCTTGAAAGTGCACATGGGCTTATTCTGCTCCTACTATGTGCAAGACACTGGTCTGTGCTAGGTGCTTCAAAAAACTAAGCTAAGTAATAAAAACAACAAGGATGACTGGGCTTTTATTTACTCTGGCCCTTGTTTCCTCATCTGAAAGTTGAAAATGCTTAATAGACTTTATTTATAAATAATGATTATTATCACAATAAACAAAGAACTCAGTGATTTATAAAAAAATTGAAGTGTCAATAAAAATGGGCATTGGCTTCCATAAATAATTTGTGAAAACATAATTTGCATAAGTGATTGGCCAATTAAACATTTTAAAACTAATTTGCATTGCTAAATGTAAATCATACAAAAGAAATGCAAATTAGAGAGATACAGTAAGTTAAAAGTACAATTTTTGTGTGTCACATTGCTAAATAGTAATAAAAAAAGACATACACAATAATGACAAAGGGTGAAATCAGGTATTGTGTAATTATAAATTGATAGAATTTTTCTAGGAATCAATTTTGCAATATATTACTAAAGTACAATACGTGTATACTTGGATGCCATAATCTAGCTCTTAGGAGTTATAAGAAAAAAAATGCTGATGATTAATGACAGTGAGTGTTACAAAAGCAATCAATATTAGAATTTACTATGAGTCAACTTCTGCGTAAATGAGTACATCACACATATCTCATAAATCAACTCAAGTGTGGTAAAAAGTACTATTATAACCCTCATTTTACACAGAAGAAAACTGAGGTTTAGGATTGCATGAGGCCTGGGAATGGGTGTGAGGAGCAGAATCTGAGCATGGTATGGTCTTTGGAGCTCCAGGCCTGTGTTCTTACTCACCACAGTGAACAGATATGGCAAAGCTTTTAATGTTGAAAAGGAGATCTAAATAGCCAACAATATTGTCAAATAGGTTTTCTCTTTCCATGTAAAAGGGTATTATTTATTCATTAACATTTTTTGAAAAATAATTATACAGGAACATGCTGATAACTCAAAAAAATTGTGATAGTAAAAACCACAACACAAAACTGTATACCATAGGTGCAAACTTCCTTAACCATAAACACACACACAAGGATACACACTTCTAAAAAGACTGGAAATAAAAACTCAGAATACACAGCATTTATCTCGTATTAGGAACTTATTTTCTTTCTCATAATTTACCTATATTATCCAAATTTTCTATAGTGGGCATTTATTGCTTTTATAATCCAGAACATTCTTACTTATTTTTAAGGTGGTGATGGGAATCAAACCTAGTGTCTCACACATGCTAGGCAAGTGCTCTCCCACTGAGGCACAACCCCAGCCCGAGAACATTCTTTTTAGTTATTATGACAAATTCATATGTGAGGAGATAAGCTTAAAACCTGGGCAGTGGTAGTGGAATCAGAGAAGAAAGGTTGGTTGTGAAAAGCATTTCAAAGTCAGATTAGTGGAGGATGCTGCAAGGGTTTTGACAGAAACTCAGAGAAGAATGATCTAGATTTAAATTCCAAGCAAAATGTACTCCTATAAAATGTCCTAAGTAATAATTTTGACATTTACAAATGAAAAGAATTCTAGATTTTGCTAATGACCTGAAAATTCTGAAGAAAAGTCATTTTTAGTAACAGCACAGTGCTTCTTCCTAGTTAGAGAAGTTGGTAAGTGAAAGAAGTCCAGGACTGTGTCTTCACACCAAAAACTCAAAATAATTTTCTTGGACAGAAAGCTGTTCTCCGTAGGTCAGGAGCATCTGTGGAGGCTGGGTGTGGGACCCTCTGGCTGCTGCACCCTCCAGAGTAGACCAGGCTTTAGAAGAAGCCTCCTCAGCCAATCCCTTGGCATTCTGACCTGCTTTCTGCAGGTATCAGGTGCAGAAGCAAGGCACAGGGTGACTAAAGGACAAGAAGATAGTCACAAATCACAGTAGTACCTCTTCCCTGGTCCCCAGTTTTCCTTTGAAATATATCGTCTTTCTTCCTGGACCCTGGAGGCAACAGAGGTCAGGCCCTTAGACAATGAAAAGGCCCCCTGTGGGACTGGCCCCTCTCACTGGCCTGCCCTCTGAACTCACACACCAGGCCTTTTAAATTAGATGTGATCTTGCTGTTTGGAGAAAAACTATCAAGTGAGAAAGGWCTTTATGATAACTAACAGCTGTGCCAAACACTTAACAAAGGAGGCTTAATAATGATTATAGTGGAATATCAACAGAACAGAATGTGCACACTTTAGTATGAATGCTATTGTCTAGTGAACAAAAAGGATAGGCGAGAACAGATTTGGTCATCTCCTATCTTTTAGCAGGGCAACCCCTAATTTAAACATCATTCTTTATTTCCTCACAGTTAACACTTGTCAAACACTCACTGTATGACATGTAGTAGACGTCCTCACATTATCTTGATGTGTGTTTTCTCATTTAATCCTAAGCAATGCCTCTGAAAAAGGTTTACTATTACTCCATTTTATCAAGGAGGAAATGAAAGTCGAGAAAGGYTGAACGGCTAGACCAAAGTCACACACCCACTAAGTGGGAAGGCCAAGATCAGAACAGAGAGTGTCTGACTCTGAGTACACGGGATGTACTTTCCCAAATGATATAGTTCAACATTTAGGGCCCTACAGTAGTGGTCAGGCACTCTGGATTTTATAATCCACTTACCCTGTTACTCATGGAGGTAGATACCATTACACCCCATTTCACAGAGAAGAAACTAAGGCTCAGAGAGGTTATGGTAAGTAATTGACTCAAAGTCACATAACAGTTCTAGAACGAGTACAAGTTGTTGGCTGTAGGCCAACAATCCTAGTATAATCCTATTTGTCCTAAATTATTAGAGATTTTTTTTAAACCCTCTGATATAGACCTCAAAATCCAGAAGCAGTGATTATACAAGGATCAGTAATACCAACTTTTCCTTCTTTCCCTCAAATTCAGTTGTCAACGTTTCCCCTTCGTCACAGGACATTAAAAGAAATAAAAGAAAAAAATCATCCTCATCAACTAATTTTGTTCCTTAGCAGGTGAAAAGTGGCATGAACATGTAACAAATTTTGAGTTACTGGATTTTTTTATTCATGTAACAACCATTCCTTATTTCATGGACAATCCAAGAACGTGCAGCTATCTTGTGACTCAGAAGGCTGAGACAGTAAGATTGTAAGTTCAAGACTAGCCTGGAGCAAATTAGCTAGATCCTGTCTCAAAAAAYAAAAAGTGCTGGGGATGTAGCTCAGCGCAGCATTCCTGGGTTCAATCCCCAGTACCACGCACACACAAAAGTTGGCAGCTGTTGTAATTTCTTTTTACAAAAAAGTAAAAAACACTACTGTTTAAGAAACAGCAAAAGTGACTGTTTCAAGTCAGCTTTTTTGCTGCTGTGACTAAAGGACCCAAAGAACACAATCGTAGAAAAGGAAGAGTTTATTTAAGAGCTCACAGTTTCAGAGGTTTCAATCCATGGACAGCAGGCTCCATTCCTCGGGGCTCAAGGAGAGACATGGCAGAGGGAAGCAGCTCACATAACCATGAGGAAGCAGAGAGACGTTTCCACTTGCCAGATACAAATGTATACCCCAAAGCCACACCCCACCACTTCAGTTACCACTCAGTTAATCCCACCAGGGATTAATTCACTGATTAGGTTAAGGCGAGAGCCAATGATTTCTCCTCCAAACCTTCTTGTGCATTGTCTCACATGTGAGCTTTTCGGGGACACATCAAACTATAGCAGTGACCACTACTTAGGAATGAGAAAACTTTACAGGATTCTTACCTCTTTGTCTCTATATATAGTATTTATTTATTTTTAAATMTTTTTTAAAAAATATTTATTTTTTTAGTTATCGGCAGACACAACATCTTTGTTTGTATGTGGTCCTGAGGATCGAACCCGGGCCACACGCATGCCAGACGAGCGTGCTACCATTTGAGCCACATCCCCAGCCCTCTATATATTATTTATGCTTTAAAAAAAAAAAATCAATACAACCCCCCCTTTCTGTACTAAGTGGTTAACAACCCACCTCTCTACTCTATTCTTAGCCCTATGGTCTGTCTAGAGGAGATACTACCACATACACCAGCTCTCACACCAGCTCTGCCTTCCTTCTGCAATTCAGGGCTGCCTTCAATGTGGCTTCAGAATCATTTTTTTTTTTTTATTGGCAGTAGAATCCATTTTGACATCATTATACAAGCATGAAATATATCTCGTTTCAATTCAGATCCCAGTACCTCTTCTTCCCCCCTTCCCTCTCCCCACCCTTGGGGTTCCTTCTTTCTGCCATTTACATATATTTTAAAAATTAATTTCTTATAGGTGTGTACATGGTAAGATTCACTGTGGTATATTCATATATGTACATAGGAAAGTATGTCAGATTCATTTYATTGTCTTTCCTTTTCCCATCCTCTACCTTCCCTTCATTCCCCTTTGTCAAATTCAGTTAATTTCTAACCCTTTCCCTTKTTGTAGGTTAGCTTCCACATATCAGAGAAAACATTTGTTAGTTTTTGGGGATTGGCTTATGTCATTTAACATGATAATCTCCAGATTCATCCATTTATGGCAAATGCTGTAAAGTCATTCTTCTTTATGGCTGAGTGATATTCCACTGTGTATATATGCTTTCTTTATGCAGTTCTCTAAGTTTAGGAGAGCGTCATATAACAGAAGGTTTTCTGATAATGAAAATTTTCTGTAGTCTGCACTGTCCAATCCTGCAGTAACTAGCCACATGTTCCTAATACACACCTCAAGTGTGGCTGAGAAACTCGATTCTCAGCTTTACCTTGAAGTTTTAAATTTATTTTATTAGACTATAAACC